AGGGCTGAGTAGAGGGGCAGGATCACCTCCCTCGACCTGCTGGAGATGCTCTTCTTAATGCACCCCAGGATCCCACTGGCCTTCTTGGCCACGAGGGCACACTGCTGCCTCATGGTTAACTTGTCATCCACCATGACACCCAGGTCCCTCTCTGCAGAGCTGCTCTCCAGAAGGTCAGTCCCCAGCCTGTACTGGTGTCTGGGGTTATTCCTCCCCAGGTGCAGGGCCTTGCACTTGGCCTCTTTGAATTGTATGAGGTTTTTCACCACCCAGTTGTCCAGTCTGTCCAGGTCCCTCTGGATGGCAGCGCAGCTCTCTGGGGTATCAGCTACTCCTCCCAGTTTGGTATCATCAGCAAACTTACTGAGGGAGCACTCATGGTAAATAAAAAACAAATGGAACAAAGAACTTCTGGCTCTAAAAAGAGAATGAGGAGCATGATAAAAAGGGATAAAGCAGGTGAGAGAAACAGTATAGAGATATGAGAAAATAAATGATTTATGTGCTCTGTAGTGCTTGCTGCCTTTCTTCATAGTAATATGCTAAAGGAGCACTTGTTGAAGCTGGAGGGTACTGTTTTCAGACTGATGAAAGAACTCTTCTTTAGCAGAAAGTAATTAACCAGCAAACTTGTTCTTCAGCAGTTCAACAGAATTTTTGTAGAGGGGAAGATCTGTATTAGAATAGGAACCACAGAATTAGGAAGAGAACCAGCAAGAGAAATCTTAAATTCCTCAATTTAAAACAATTACTGATCTTAACCTAACTTTGGACAAATTTATTCATGATTTCCTTATAGGTTTGCAAGGTTGGGCCTTTTTTAGATATGTTTTCCCCAGTCCTTTTGTTGGTCTTTTCAAGGAATAGGGTACTCGATTGCATGCCTGTTACCATTTCAGGAGTTAGGAGGTCAGTAGGCCTTTGAACAGATTTTTGTTTTGTTTTGTTTTCTTTCCCTTTCATGTATGTCTATGTGGGCAAATTTTGGCCACTGGTATCAGCTGCATTCTGTGCCATTAAATAGCTTGATGCATTTGCTTGTCCTGCTGGCTGTCTTTTGACCTGTCCATGGTATAAGTGGTGTCAGTGCTTCCTCTTCCTCTGAATAAAGAATAACGTGATCACATGCTCCTTTCAGAGATCTGAGGAGGAGGAGACAAAGCGCCTTCTTCAGCTCAGCAAGGAGGTGCTTTTGGAAAGGGGAGGAGCAGATGGCCTGGATCACAACGAGGAGGAGCTGATTCTTGATGAATATGAGAGTGATGAGGAGAAGAAAGTGGTACCTGGGTAAGGATGGGGACTTCCATACCAACACATTGCTTTTTGTATTGTGCTTGGCTTCCCTTAATTACAGGGTTTCTAGGTGTGATTACTTCCTTGGGTGTCTCTCTGGGATTCTTTTACCGAGTATTTGTCCTCCTGGATCTGAAGTCTGGCTGTGTAGTGTGCAGATCTGGAGTTTCCCGTTTGAGCCATGGAAAGTAGATTTTTGTTGTAGTGCGTGCAATTCCAAATGCTTTTGTTAGGCTGGATCTTCCTTGTGTTGACAGCACAGTGACCTGAAGTGTCTTCTGAGAAAGTGCATCTTAAAATGCATAGCAGTGTCCTCCCTTCACCCAGGCTTGGGTCCTTGAAGAAACCTTCTGGCTGCTGGGTAAATGACTTGAGATCAAATTTTTTACATTAGAAAAACAAAATACTCCTCAGGGCATGAGAGGAATTTCCTTCAGGATTAACATTGACATCTGTTGGTATTCTAAAGGGAGAGATGTTCACATTTCTAAAAACTGAGCTTCAGCATAAAGACCATGTGCACGCTTTTCTGTCTTGTATGTGGTTGTTCCTCTTGCTTTATGCAGAAATCCAGAAGTCATATTTTAGCAGGAACAGTCAAATACATTTAAAACATAAATTTACTAATTAGTGTCATTTTCAGGACAGATCCTCCTGCCTCAAATTGAAAAATACTTAAAACTACATATAAATGAAGCAGTTATCAAACATTAAGCTGCTTTTGCCTTTGAGGAATTGTATGGCAACTAAACATCTTCCTGAAGCTTGTCTTTATGCAATAGCTTGAGGGTGGCATATTGTCTCTATGGGAAAAACCAATAAATAAATACATAAGCACACCAAAGAATCGTATAACACTGATTAGCTAATGCTGGGGGTTCAGAAACACCAAATTTATTATTAAAAAAAAAAGAAGTCCTGAAGTTGCTAAACACACAGCCCTCCATTTTTATTTTTAAAGAATAAGGCTAGATTTGATCATGTAGTATTTATATGAGCTCAATTTTTATTTTATCTCTTGAGTTAAGGTCTGAAGTTCTTGAGATGATACAGCCATCTCTTTTGAGATTGTTATCTTGTTGCCAAATGTCATTTTAAACCAACTTTCAGTGACCTGTTAAAAGGATGCTCTTTGGACTTTCTTTAGGCTGGAGGAAGATGATGATGATATGGAAGAGGAGCATGTTACTAAGGTGAGATGAGGACGACAGTGGCAGAGAGAGTAGTGTATCCGTAGATGTGTGAGCAGAATCATGGCTTCCATGCATCCTTCCCAAAATAATGCAGCTAGAGGGATTTGGAAACTAGCACTGACAACTGCTGAATTTGTTAACAGCAAGCAGTACTGCTGCTGCTATCTCCTTTTACACTGCACTGGCCACTAAAACAGCTGCTAACATAGCTGAAAGTTTGCTGGGACTTGCTGTAAAAGCATAATGCTAGAATTATTACTTTTTTATTACTCTGCCATGGTGCTTTGCTGTTGTTATAGGGACTGTGTTATAGGGACCCTGGGAAAACCAAAACAGAGGCCCAGATGCATGGGAATTAACAGGAAGAATAGGCCAGATGATCTGGGCAGGTGTAAGCTGCTGTTCAGCTATAGACCTTCCCTAGTGTTTGTGAGGGCTTGAGGAAGGTAACTTGGCTGAGGTACTGGCCTGCCTCCTTGCAGGATTGGCTGTCAGAAGGGGATTTGGCTTTCCTGTTCTTCTTATCCTCCCCTTATTTTTCCTCACTGCAGATTTACTACTGTAGCCGCACCCACTCGCAGCTATCTCAGTTTGTGCACGAGGTGCAGAAAAGTCCTTTCGGCAAAGACACGCGGCTGGTCTCCTTGGGATCCCGGCAGGTATGTGAGGTGTTCACAGGAGAACCAGCGTGCACCTTAACCTTGTATAAAAAAGTTTGCTAGGAGGTGTGTGGATGTAACGATCACAAGACATCTCAGAGGCTCCCTGCATTTCCCAAAACTAAAGCAGAAATGAGTCATTACTCGGATCTGGATGATATGTCTTCTTTGAGCTGTGTTTTTACCATTTATCCTTTAACATAAATTCAAGAGTCTGTCTTCTCTCTGATACAGAAGATTACATATTTCTGAATCTCTGAGAAGGTCCTTTGTGTTCTTTCTCTTGGTATTGCTTCTGTGAGCAGCTCTTAGAAGCTGTTGGGTAGCAGGGAGCTCTCAGGCACTTTTTCCAATTTTTCCTCTTTGTTAATTTTTAAATGGGATTGGAGCATATTTGTAGCAGCTAGTACACAGTAATTCAGACTTGTCTATTTTGGAATCTAGTCTTAGATTCCTTTAAAGTCTTTTGTTTTACAGCAAAGGGAACCCAGAGGGCACTGTCTTTTAAATAACCACCTACTGCTTCCCCTCTTTGCATGCCTAAGAACTTGTGTGTGAATGAGGACGTGCGCCGCTTGGGGGCTCTCCAACTCATCAACGACCGCTGCATGGAGATGCAGAAGAACAAACATGGTATGAGTGCTCTCAGCCTGGGAAAGCAATCGCGGGTAAGGCAGGTATGTGTGAGAGTCTGGAGAGAGTGCTCTCTGCCAGTCAGCTTGAGCAGGAGAGTGGCAGGAGCTTGAAAATGGTAAGGTGGAGAAACAGAGCTAGAGGTCACTAGTGCTTTTACTTTTCTTGTCCTTCCAGGATAGGAGAGATCCTCTGAGACTTGTGTATGTTTGGAGAGCCTTATGTCTGTCAGGACTTAGGCAGTGGAAGTTGTTTTTGCAACGTAGTACTAGAAATATGGGGAAATGTCACATGTCTAAATCTAACTGGTAGCGGAAGCGACCACTGCAGGGATAGGAATGTCACTGAAGAATGCTCTTTAAACAGATGATAGGTAAAAAGTGCATGGAAAGACCTACCTTGAAATCCATGAACTGTAAGGATTCAAAGTAGTTGTTTTAGGTTGTTTTGTATATTGGTCATGACTTTCTTCTGATTTCCACTGTCAGATAAGAAAAGCGATGGAGAGGAGATGGAGGGGAAGAGGAGACGTGTGAGTCGCACCGTATGCCCGTTTTACTCCTATGAGCAAATGCAGTTTCTCCGTGATGAAATTCTAGTGGAAGTAAAAGATATCGAGCAGTTGGTGGCTTTGGGAAAGGAAACAAAAGCGTGCCCATATTATGGGAGTCGATACGCCATCCCTGCTGCTCAGGTAAGGTGTATGTGCTGTCAGGGGGTACTAGTGCCAGAGTCTCCAAGAATAAACCTGTTGCCTTCTCACTCCAATATTATGTTGCCCAATGTTCACAGAATCCCAGAATGGTTGAGGTTGGAAGGGACCTCTAGAGATCAGCTACTCCAACTCCTGCTCAAGCAGGGACACCTAGAGCACGTGGTGTGGGTTTTCTGGGTGTTTGTAAGCAGTCTGAATGTTTGCCATCTCTAGTTTTGCTGAGAAAACTCATGAAGGAAAGAACAGCCACTTGGAGCTAGCAGGGAGGCTGGAAGTTGGTAGTGAGTTGAGCGTGCTGAAGCAGCTGCATGGCTCAGTAAATTGTGAAGCAGTACTGGTACACCAGAATGATCTTAGCACATACCACTATTCTTCATCCTCACTTGGTTCTCTGCCAGAAGACATCCTTTCAGTGCTTCAAAGGAGGTTAGGAGTGTAGCCTGCTCTTGTGCTGCTGGGCTTTTCTTACTGTCATTCATTGAGGGTTGAACAGGCTCCCCGTCCATGTATTGTTCTGGCACAGTCATTTCTATTCAGCTCACCTCCCAGTGTGTCTCTCCAAACACACACCCTCGTGTCTCTTCCTCCTTTTCCCACCTGGAATAGGAGCAAATAACGTGACTGGCCTCTGCAGGGACATGTGGTTGGTAAGCGCTCGATGTTCGTAAGGACGAGAATGTGAGTCAGAGTATGGTGCGCTTGCCCCGCAGCTGGTGGTGCTGCCGTATCAGATGCTCTTGCACGAGGCCACGAGGAGCGCTGCCGGGATCAGCCTGAAGGACCAGGTTGTAATCATTGACGAGGCTCACAACCTTATAGACACCATCACTTGTATCCACAGTGCGGAGGTCAGCGGTGCTCAGGTGAGTCACGTCTGTTAACCTTGGCTGAGCTCTAAATCTGGCAGAGTGCCCTTTTTTGGCTCCTCTGTAATGCCACGTCCTTCCTTTGCTCTTGTAGCTGTGCTGTGCCCACTCCCAGCTGCTGCAGTACATGGAACGATACAGGTGAGGATCTCAGATGAAAACAGCACTAGAACAGTGGCAGGCAGCGTGGATGCCACAGCTTATTGCTCTTATCTGCAGGGCCTTTCTTGCTTTTTCCCCAGTGGAAAGTTATTTGCATTCACGCTTTTGCAGATGAAGAGCTACTGGCTTCATTATCTCTGTCTAGAACCCATCTTAAGTCAGATTCCTAGGGCTGGTGTTAAGCAGTAAAAAGGGGGATACCCTGGGGATTCTGGCTTTCCCTTATCCTCTCAGTTTCTTTCCCAGTATCTCTTAATCACTCCTGTTTTCTGATACCCAGTTTCAAAAGCTCCAGTCTTTCATGTGCCTTGTAGTGCTTAGCTTTTCATGTGCTGAGTAAGCTCTGAGGAGGAGGAAGCTGTGTGGGATCTTGGCTGCGGTCAGATCTTGCATATTGTCATACCTGCAGCAACTGATTATTGTGCTCACTGCTAATACCTTTGAATTTGTGTAACATTATCACAACATGGACTCAGGGCATCACTGCTGATATAATAAGCAAACCATAATTAATATGCAGGGAGAGGGGTGGTGGTAGGAACAGTGAAGTGCCCAGGCTACAGGGAGGATGATCTATGATGAAGATATTCAGGGGTCTGTACCCTGTCACAAATAGGGAGAGTGAACCTAGGAGAAGTCAATCTTGGCTCCTGTCTTCCTAAAATGAAGGGGAGTTCAGATGATTGTCTCTGCAGCTTAGGAAGCTGTGTGACTTAGTCCCTGAAGATGTTCTGTGATCTAATACCTGTCATTTCATAGGAAGCGTCTAAAGGCAAAGAACCTGATGTACATTAAACAGATCCTTTATTTGCTGCAGCAGTTTGTGTCTGTGCTGGGAGGTAAGAAAATGTTCTGTCTCTGCGGATGTGTTTAGACTCAGAGCTAGCTGGTGCTTCCTCAGAGTGCTATGTTCCTGCTCTGCAGAGGTGAAAAGGAGTTGTTGTTGCTCACACATAAGCTCGGACACTGGTGATTTCTTTCCTCAGTCTGTTTTGTACCATTGGGATGTGGCTGCCTGAACCCCTCTTTGGTTTGATAAACTGAGGAGCAGTAAATGATGGAGGTGTGGGTGCTGAGGAAGATGGCAGATGTGACAGTGATCAGGGCAGAATAAAAATGGCACAGAATAAATCTGGGTCATCAGGTGGCAAGGCCTCTGCAAATGGCAGGCATTCCTCTGCAGAAAGGACCTTTCTTGAGTAAAGTCCTTCCTCCTCACTCAAGGGAAATGCAACTGTTTGGGGCAGGAGTCTCCTGGCTGGCTGTTCCCTTCTACCGAGTGCACCATTTTTCCTCCCTTGCTCCTGCCAGCCCTTTCTTCCCCACACCTGACTGAGTGCTTTCATGAGAAAATGCAGCCTGTGTTCAGCTTCATGACTGAGGCTGCAAAAATGAGATGTGAGGTGGGTGTTAAACACGAGGACATAAAACACGGCGAGTGGCAGCCGTTAATATTGTTCTGTCTCTCGGGGCCTGTGTGCAGAGCCGTCCTCGGGCTTTCCCTTCTTCCCAACCAGTTGGCAGCCTACGCACCTCCCAGCTCACCGGTGCTGCACTGAGGAGGGGCGAGGGCCACGCTGCAGTCCCTGTCCCTGCAGCTTTGCAGCATGAGCACTGTAGTGTGCGAGTGCTTGCACGCAGCCCTCCTTCCTGCTGCCTCCTGCCATGGAAGGAAGGCAGCTGGTGATTCTTAGGATGCGGCAGAGCACTCGCCCTGCACTGCAGGGCTAACGCGCAGGGGAAAGAAACACTGAGCAGGGGCTGATGTTTTCTCTTTATCCAGGGGTATAGTTAACTCCTGTTTCTGTGCCGGCACAATGCACCTTTCAGGCCAGTTGTTAGTCTCTTGCTTAATTTTAAAATAGACTTGGCATAAGCCTTCCTTGAATCAATTTTGTATGTTACAGGTAATGTGAACCAAAATCCTAACTCTCAGGCAATTCCACAAACAGGTAAAACCAGAGTTAATACCTGGGGTGTTTGGCTACCAAGTAGCAACAGGGGTGTGGGCAGTGAGGGGATGCAGATTCAGAAGCTAATTTTTTTTCCACCCCTTCTTTTGCAGGGACTGAGCTAAAATCCATCAATGACTTTCTGTTTCAGAGCCAGATAGACAATATCAACCTCTTCAAGGTACTGCAAATGTTGCCTTCTGCTAGGGCAGTGGTTATCAGGAAGGCTGTGAGAGAGCTGGAAGTAAAGTGTGTGTCCCCGTGGCAGGATATGCTTTCTGGTGGCTTCTCCCTACTTCCTCCATGTCTGGATCTCCTGCTGCTGTCTGGATGGCAGCACACTAAAGCTGAGTGGGTGGCGTTGGGGTAGTGGGGAGCAACTAAGTGAACATGTGCAGGGGCTCTCTGTCAGCAGAGCAAAGCTGTAAAGCGTGAGGGTCAGGAAACCAGACCCTCCAAGCAACCCACTTCTCCAAGCTCCAGCCACGATACCTCACCACAATGGGCTCCTACGCCGGAAGCAAATGCCCTTTATAGTAAAGGGTTGTCTGGGCAGAAACACTCGCAAAGAGCCTGGCGCCTATCTGCAAGAGCTCAGCAAGACCAGCAAGTGATATCCTTGCTGGTCAAGGCTCGAGGGCAGCAGGATCAGAGAAGGGATGCCCAAAGCCAATTAATGCTTCTCTCTTCCTCTGACAGGTTCAGCGTTACTGTGAGAAGAGCCTCATCAGCAGGGAGGTACCGCTCCTGGGCCTGGTAGTCGCTCGACGTGTTGTGTCAGAAGCGGAAGATGCAGCAGCTGGGGTGGGAGTCTGTCTTCTCCTCCCCACTTTGCATGCAAAATGGGTCTTGCCAAAAGCACTGTGTGTTACCTTTTGCTTATACTGCAGAGAAACACACAGCATGCCATGCTGGCTAATTCTGTGCAGCTTTGCCTCAAACCTGCCAGCCCAGTAAACCTCAGGGCACTGGAGGAAGCAACATCAGAGGCTTGGTTTGGTTTTCATTCAGTGTGTGAACAAAAGTAAGGCTGGTAGGTCTGGGCTGTGTTCACAGGCTCTGATTTGGCTGCTTTGGGAACACCTATCAAGGAGCTTCATCTGTGACAGGCTAGCAAGCTTGTTTTTATTCTGTCCAACTCCTGCTGCTTGGTTTCTTAGTATCTCTGACTTCGGCTTGACAGCTCTTTGGGTTTGTGGAGCGATATGGAGCGCCCACAGTTGTAAAGACCAACAAAGAGAAGGAGAAGTTGGCTGGTTTGCAGAACTTTCTTCTGAGCCTCCAGCAGGGGTCTGATAAAGAGGGTGAGTTCTAACAGCCTCCATGGCTTGTGGACTAAGTAAGGGTGTGCAAAGTGGGAAAGCAGACGGGAAAAGTGAGAGAAACTGCAGGTGCTGCCCTAGACAGGTTTTGTAAAATATATTTGACTCGATAATGTAGGCAACTATATATTTGAATAGAAGTCCTGAGGTCCCTTCCAACCCAAATGATTATGTGATTCTGTGTTTACACTGCACAAATTGAAGCTTTGCAGTGCTGTGATCAGCTGGCTCTGGGACCTGAGCCCATTTGGCAATACCAGCTACAAAATCCAAATTTTCCTTTTCTTGATTAGCAATGAAACAGAACTTGGGTTCCCTCATTACTGGGTCTTTGTTCCCTACCTGCAAGTGTAGATCATGTATCATGTTCCTGAAAAGGGCCCACCTGTATTTAGTGCTTACTGCCCTCCCTGCTCTTGAAAATGTGGCTTATGTTGCCTGCTCCTTCTCTCTTCTGGCCAGGTCCTCCTCAGAGCCTTCCTGCAGAGGCTGAGAGTGACCAGCTCCGATCCGCCTCTCCGCTGATGCAGATTGAAGGATTTCTCTCAGCCCTGACGAATGCAAATCAGGATGGCAGAGTCATTCTCAACAGGCAAGGTACTGGAATGGAAGAGCTGTGGATAGGTGACGTAGTCCTCCTCGTGAGCAGAGTGTACCCTGATGGTGGGGGAGGTGATCCTGAGTTCAGAGGGTCTGCAGCGCTGTCAGCATGCTGGGCAGGGTCTGCGGATCCGGCTGGCTCACTCTGTGTGAGGATTCCTGTGAACCCACAGGAGTCCTTAAAAGGGCTTTGGAGCTAGGAATCAAAAACTACAGAGATCTCCTCCCACTTTGCAGGTAGATTTTTGTCTTGCAACTTAGCGCATCTTTACAGCTCCAGGAAGATTAGAAAGCAGAAAGTAGCTTCCAGCTCACTGTTACCTGTTACTGTTCCTGGCAGTGTTTGAATAGTAAGTCCTAGTTTGAGAGGCTGGGATCTGCCTGAGTGCCCAGGGCAGGAAGGGAATCTCTCGTATCCCATAGATCCCAGACTGTGTGTTTCAGTTGTTTTCTCTCTTTCTCTCTCTCCTTTCTGCAGGTACTGTTGGTCAGAGCAGCCTCAAATTCCTCTTGCTGAATCCAGCTGTACACTTTGCCAAGGTGGTGAAAGAGTGCCGAGCTGTGATCATTGCTGGGGGCACCATGCAGCCGGTGAGGGGACACGGACGCTACTCGAAGCTTGTGGCAGGTCTCGCTATCCACAAGCAAGCATGGAAAGACAGTGGCTTGGCATGTGCTTTTCTATCCGCTTCTTGTGGCATGTGCGGGGAAAAAAAATCCTCTCTTAGGCAGCCTCTAATGTGCTTGCTACAGTTTTCCTGCCTAGCTGTGCAAAAGGTGGGGCTGCCCTTGTCAGCCTGGCTGAAGCAGTTTCTCGAGCGGACAGCTGGTCAGGACTGTCTCTGACCTTCTAAAGGGATAAGGGTCCCAAAGGGACCATGCCTTAGGGGATCTTTCAGATGGATTGGGGCTCCAATGTTATCATGGTGGTAGGATCTATTTCTTCATCTTCCAGCCCTTTTCCCACTGCTTTTGAATATTGGGGAGCGTGTCCCTCATGTACAGTTGCTGTGGGGTGTGTCAGATATTCCAGTTAGCTACACTGATGCAGTTCAGCCATGCCTGTTTTTGAACATCCTGAAATCTCCTCTGTGTTCTTTTGGATGGAGCAAAGTGCAGGGTCTCGGTGAACAGTGGTGCTCTTTGGTGAAACTGCTGTTCCAACAGACTACAGCCCAAAGGATGTCACTGCAATCCAAGATGTGCTTGGTACACTATTTACAAGAGCTGGTTATTGGTTCTTGGGCCAAGGGAGGTCTTAACTGGAGCGTCATGGGCCAGGAGGGAATGGTTTCCAGGCACAGAACCTGCCCCAGGATCACAACAAGTCTGAAACAGCAGCTGCCTCCTGCATTGAGACTGCCTGTTCTGCCTGGGCCCGCTTGAAGATCCCCCCTGGGAATCTGGCCCTTGCCTGAGCAGCAGGGAGCAAAGCTGGGATGCACAGGGTCTTGGGAGCAGGCCCTGTCACCAGCGGAGCTGTGCCTCTGCCTGAGCAGTGCCGCAGGGGGACAGGGGCTGAGCCTTGCCTGGGGCAGGTGCTAAGATATGGCTACCTGCTGCTCCACACAGTCATCCAGCTGGAGCGGCTGGAAAACACAAGCTCAGGGCCAGCGATCACGAGGGCAGACAGATGAGCCCTGTGCTTGGTAGCAGCCCCAGGGCATTTCCACACCTCCTCCTCCTGCTGCTGCTCTCCAACACACCTCCTACCTGGGCTTGCATGCCCCGCGCATGGATCTGCCTTTCGTCCCTCCACCGGTGCCAGCGGCCACTATACTGGGCTGGAGGCAGCAGCAGAGCTGCCGGGGCTGTGTCTCTGGGGATGCTGCTGCTCCAGCTCTCCTTGGCTTGTTTCTGTAGGTGTCTGACTTCCGAGAGCAGTTGCTGTCCTGTGCTGGTGTGGACCCTGCGCGAATTGTGGAGTTCTCCTGCGGTGAGTGTGAGGGGAGGCACCATCATCTTGCAGTGTGGGTGCGAGTGTTGCTGTGGCTGTTTGGTCTCGGCCATAATTGGTGGGTAGTGTCCTGCTCCCGTGTCAGGCTTGGAGAACAGCTACCAGCAGCAGAGTGGCTTGTGTACTGCGGCTTGGCTCATGTTGCCATGTGCAGGTGAAGCTGTCCCGCTCCCTGTATTCGTGCGTGCAGTGTTGACACTGACTCTGCTGCCCGTTTTTTGTCTCCAGGTCATGTGATTCCCCCAGAAAACATTTTGCCCGTGATCCTGTGCAGTGGCCCTTCCAGCCAGCAGCTGGAGTTCACCTACCAGACGAGAGACCTGCCCCAAATGGTGCGTTTCCCGTTTGCGTCCTGTGTCTGAGAGGCATGCTCATCAAAAGCCATGAGGGGGGTAACCTGGGGGATTCAGGGCAGGCATGATGCCAACAGGAAGGGAAGATGAGCAGCAAGGGGGAATTTGAGCTGCCTGCCCGCTCAGTGCTTGCTATTGCAGACTAGGGAGACTAGTGTCTCCTGTTAACTGTGCTGAGATCAGAGCGCGATCTCCGACTGCTTCGTGCTTTGAAGGGGGCTCTATCACTGGAGTGTGCAGCCCTGCAGAGTGCAGCCTGCCAGCGAGACGGGTGGCAGATGTTTCTGCACAATTTCCTTAATTCCTCTCTTCTTTCTGGGGTGGCCAGTAAGCGCCTGGCACTGGACGCTAGGTCTGTTCTGTCCCCACCAGATGTGGAGAGCAAACAAGCAGGTCTGTTCCAGGGTGGCAGTTCCCAGCCATTAGGCAAAGGACATAATCATTCCTTCCCTGAGGGACCACTCCTTACCAGCAGTAAGGCTGTGCACATCTCCCACATTTTTCTCTCCAGGGCAGGACTAAGGGGAGAGGTGTTTCTGGGCCGGCACAGCACTGGAGCAGCGTTAGCTGGAGCTGCTGTGAGCTGCTCTGTGCTCTTGTCTCGCTTGCAGATGGATGAGACGGGCCGGATCCTTTGCAATGTGTGCAACGTGGTCCCCGGCGGCGTGGTGTGCTTCTTCCCTTCCTACGAGTACGAGAGGCACGTGTATGCGCGCTGGGAGCAGACCGGGCTGCTTGCCCGCCTGGCAGCTAAAAAGAAGGTAATGGTGCAGCCAGGGGCAGGTATTTGGTACATTGTTGGTACTTCAAAATGAAGGTTTCACAAGTCACACAATTATCTCTGCATTACAGGCCTCTCTCACTGAGCTGTTCTCATACTCTGCACAGCAGAGCAGAGTGGATGTTTATCTAGCCAATCCCTCCAGTAATGAATAAATGATGCTTCCCAGGCAGCTGATCACTGAGCTGGGATCTAAATTAGATTAAATGCTGCTATAGATTCTGTTAAGTGCACAAACTGTGTGGTGGACATGGAGGGAGACAGACTTCCCTTTTCACAACCTGCAGGCTTGTTCCCCTGTGCCTTAGAGTGTCTAAGTTGGGCTCTTACACCCAAGTCGGGCTCTTACAGGCTCTGAAAGTGCAGAGTTGAGAACTATGGTCTTGCCTGTGTGACCTTGACTGAGGTATCTGATCCATCTTCCCCCTTGCAAGGTGGAAGCAGTGACCCCTGTGCAAGCTGGGGGAGGCTTATGAAAATACAGAAAGGTCCCTGCAAACATGAAATCTTTGTAGTGGCCATCACAAGTATTTGAACGTTGGATATTGAAGTTTAGGCAGCCTGGTTGTCTTGGGCAGATCTTGGATCACGCACCAGAAAAAAAAAATAGAAACACAGATGCTATAGGTTGACTTCTGTTTACCAGAAGCTAAAGAGCTTACCAGATGGCTCAGGAGAGCAGACTCCCAGATGTTTCACAGCCTTGATGCTGCCACATGGATCTGCCTGTTGTGTGTGTTTGTTTCTTTGCATGTTTGTTTTTTGATGGATCACCACAGTTCAGCTTTTCTGCATATTTGTACAAGTAGCATTCACGGTGCATTCTGTCAGGGTCCAGCTAGCATTGCCAGGGGTTTATGTCACATTCATGCGACTTGCTCTGCTTTTCAATACTGATTTGCTCTAGTTCAGGCTTTGCAGTCTCCTTCAAATTGAGTGTGTGTTAGCAAAGCCTCTGGTGAAGCGTAACAAGTATGACTTTCAGCTGCCTACACACAAGATCATATCAAAGAGGAGGGAGGTTAAAGTCTTCCTGGAGGTGGCTGTGGTGAGATCACACTGAGATTATATATAAATTACAAAGGGAGGATTAATTTAAACCACAGGCTTAAATAGCTACTGTTAAACGGTCTTGGCTTACGTTTGTATTTAACAGTTATTTTTCTTACTGAAAGATTAATTCTGGCTTGTTAAAACTCATATTGCTTCTTGCTAATCAAAGGGAAACATATCTTTTGGGTTCTTTACTGTCATAGATAGGAAAGAAGTTGCACTTCTTGTTTACTAGAGGGAAAAAAAAGGTGATTTTGGTCAAGATGCAGCACCTATCAAAAAGTAGCTCAGTTAATTGCAGAGTTTTCTGCAGCTTGAAATATTGAATACCAGGCAATATTATTCAGTGTATTTTCTTTCTCTAGAGAGAATGCTAATTGTTTCACCAGGCAAGGGGAACTATTACCTGCAATTAGTTGGTGATTCAAAGTTTGATCTTTTCACTGTCCCCAAAAGATCTTGCAGCCAGAGGGTCCCCCTACATCTCTACTCTTAGATGGAGGCAGTCTCCATCGCACTTTCCTGCCTTCCAGCATGAGGATGATTTTTAACTTCTTATGGACTTGGACAAGCCTGTCTGAGACCAAGGGGAACGTTTCCTGCTGCTGCTCCTTTCAGAGCCCAGGGGCAAGGTGCCAGCATGGACATGCAGGGTTTTCCAGGGTGCTGGCTAAGCTGTGTGGGAAGGCTGGGTGTGTCCTTCCCCCATCTTACCACCCTGCGGTGTTTAATAGGATGGGATTAGCATTGGGGTTATTTTTCAGTCTGCTTGCTCCTATTGCTGCAACTAACACACTGCACCTTTGACAGATCTTTCAGGAGCCTAAAAAGGCCAACCAGGTGGACCAGGTTCTTGTGGAATATGCCAAGTGCATAAAGGTAAGCAGAGGCAGCAGCCTGCTGGGAGTGAAGCATCCCAGCTCCCTCTAGGAGTGTCATTTTTAACAAGGAAACAAGACTTTAAGAAGAAAAGGGGGTTCTCATCCGTGTGTGTCAGTGTTTCTGAAGCACAAAGTCTTCCCAGTTCTGGCTGAATGTGTTGGTTCCTGTCCTGCAGCGCTGCAGCCATGGGGGAGGACAAATGACCGGAGCCCTGCTGTTTTCTGTAGTTGGGGGGAAAATGAGTGAAGGGATCAACTTCTCTGATGACCTGGGCAGGTAAGAGGGCTACTCCTTTTAAGGTGGGCACTGGGGTTGTGGTGCTGTGAGGCCAAGCAGGATGGAGGGATTGGTACTCGCGTGGATAGAAAACCCTGGGGAACACATGACTTCTTTGGCCCAGGCCTAAGCTAATGGGACCAGGTCTGCTGGGTTGTGTAGAACTGCTGCTTAGTGACTTGTCCAGAGTAATGCAGTTGGGCTTGCTGTGCTGGATAACAACTTGTCCTGGCACCCAGAATCCCGCTGCAGCTTTCAGTTCAGTATGTGCTTGTCAAACTGCTGTGCTTTATTGCTGCCTTTGGTTTTCAGGGCTGGCTGGCTTTCAGGGGTGCAATGACCTCTCTAATTTATCTTGCTGTTGGCAAAGTGCTCTAGCAGGGGACATTTAAATAATGCATCTTTCCTTGACCCTTGCAGGTGTGTGATCATGGTGGGCATGCCCTACCCCAACATTAAAGCTCCAGAGCTCCAGGAAAAAATGACTTGGCTTGACAAAACAATGGTAAAAAGGAGACTTAGACCTCCATTTCTTACACTTTCGTTTTGTAGTAGCAAAACTAGATGCCCTTCCTGGCATGGGAGTCCTAGGGTTGCCTTGAGGGATTCTGCACAGGTACAGAAGCACCACAGGCTGAAGTACAAAGGCCCTTCAGCCCAGAACAGGGGGTAGGGGGAGCAGAGGCTGCAAGCCAGGATCACTTCTCTTGGCTGGGCAACTGTAAGAGTCTGGGCAGCTGGGGACAAGTGTTCTGCCTTCAAGGCCCTGGGCTGCCTCTTTGTGAATGCTCAAAACAAGTTTCCTAACTGCAGCCTCTCCTCTGTTCCTTCTTAGCCTCCACTTTGGGGCTGTGTAGCTACCTGCGCACTCAGCACGGATAAAAGTATTTGTGTGTCCACTCTGATTTACACCTGCCTCATTGTCTGTGTTTTTCTGTTCCAGCCAAGAGCTGCTGGCCAGGCCCCGAGCAGAGTGCTGATTGAAAACCTGTGCATGAAGGCAGTAAACCAGTCAATAGGTAATCTGTCCTTCCTGGGGCAGGCCAGCACTGGGGGGACAAATGCACCTGCCATGGTGCAGGAGAGTGGGAGGCAAGAAGGCATTACATAGTCCCTCAAGACATGGAAGAGGGGAATTGTACTGGCTGGAGAACAGAACAGTGACTGAGCCTGCTTGTTTACTGTGCTTGGGTACTGTTAGGGAGAGCCATTCGCCACCAGCGGGACTTTGCCAGCATCCTGCTCCTGGACCACAGGTATGCACGCCCTGCTATCTTTAATAAGCTGCCGCAGTGGATCAAGGAGAGAACCCAGGTTAAAGCTGCCTTTGGATCAGCATTTGCAGAGTTGAGAAAGGTCAGAGTTTGTATCTTTTTGCATGTACTGCTATGGAAACTATCCTTAGTACTTGTCCAAACCCTCTCATATTAGCCCTTAGGTAAGTAAGGGCAGGATCAAACTGTCAGTTTTCTTCTGTTCTTAGTTCCATCGAGGGAAGTTGGACACTTCATGATGAAGACCATAGGATGGGCTTGTAGGTCAACTCCGTGTGAGCTACTGCTTTTGAAGGACAGCTGTTTGTTTGCTACTTTTTTGTACCAGAGATTTTGTGAATCTCTTCTTTTGCCTCCTTTGTGGATGGTTTTTGTTCAGTATCTGAGCACTGCAGTGGTGAGACCTGCACCTTCAGCACCATAACCAGCAAGGACACTGGTGAAGGCAGCAGCAGGCTCCAAGTTGTTTATAACAGTTCAAGTTTCATTTAAACTGATTAAACATTTTCAACCCAGACACCTAAGTGTGGACACGCTTCAATTATTTTGATGGAACCCAGCTGCTTTTTAACTTCAACATCTAGATTGGAGGGGCTTGATGACCAGTGAAAGTAAAGCTTTTCCACAAAAATTTTATATTAACAGGCCAGGGAGATGAGCAAGCTTGGTGTACCATTTCTATCCTCTCCAGCTTGCTTCCAGCAGTTGATAAGTTCAGGCCAGGCTCCTTTCAAGGGAAACAAGGATATGGCCACAATGCACTGCAGCACTTGTCCTCTACTCCTTCTTAATCATAGAATTATGATCTTTTATCTCTTTCTTATGGCACAGGCTTTTTGAGTTAAAATGTAAACTTGCCCTGGAAAATATTGTAATTCTTCTATTTTTAGTGCAGCTGGCCTGAGGTTCTTCCCTAAGTCCTGGGTCAGTGGTAGAGGGCAGTGTTGCCATCCTATGGCTATCCCCCACTCTTAGTCATTAGTACCAAACATTTTCAAGTGCTGCTTTGTCTCCTTGGTCATTTCAGGAGCTGGATGCTGCCTCTTGAGGCTCTTCTCCGTACAATAAATACTTTTTATTAGCCACAAGGCAGGTTAAGGAACCCGCCCCACAGGCAGTGAAACGCTGCTGCTGCTCCTCCTCCACCTTCAGTGGGCACTGAGTCCCCTCTGAGTGCCCAATACTGCTTTAGCCCTGGTGGAAGCAGCAGCAGCAGTGAGCGATGCCTGCTGGAAACAGCCCCTGGCTTCAGGTGCTCTGCCTCGCCCCAGCCTGAGAGGGGAAGGGGCAGCTGGACCCTCCCTTAAGCCACATGTAACTGAGCACCCTTCTCCTCCCAGAAAGAAGGCTCCAGGACCCTGCTTTCTTCAGTTTTATTGCATTTTTTTGCAGAAACCAACCAAAGAACTGCTGGTAAGCCAAGTACAAAGACAATTAAGGGGAGAGGCACATTCCCCTGAAGGGGCAGAGGGACGTAAACACACATACTCAGTCTCCATGGCCTGCTCTCCTCTTCAGCAATTCACACCCAGCAATACCCAAGCAAACAGCATGGAGAAAGATGAGGCAGAAGCTGTTTGCCTGCAAGAGCTGCTCTTGCAGTCGTCACCAATCACATTAGGAAAGACTGAAGGCCCCTTAAATCGGGAGAGATGCTAGTTCGGATCTCCTGAGCACAAGCCACCTCGCTGCCCTGCAGCTAAGGCAGGATTTATTGAGCCCCTGTGAGCAGCAGCACGAGATGAATGTAGTGCTGGGGGTGAGGAAGAGCAACCAGAGCAGAAGTAACACTCCTTGATAACTCTGTTCAGCAGCTGTTCGTTCCTGCTGCTCCCGCTCAGCTTTAAGAGGAAATGACAGGGTCCCTCTGCCAGGACAGTGCCCACCCTCCAAGGGATATTTCCAGGGGCTGGTCTGTCTCAAAGGTGCCTTAGTTCAAGAGTCGCGGGACTCACGCTGATAGAGATTATGCACAACTGCTACATCTACGATTCCCAGTCATCCTCATCTTCCTCACCTGGGGGCTGCTGTGGGGGTGGAAGGGGTGGTATCGAGTCTGACATACGAGCAAAGGCGCCAGCAGGACTTCCAGGAGTGTCAGGATTTCCTGAGGCTCCTGGCCCTTTCCCCGAAATACCTGGGACGGGGAAAGAAAAGCACAAGTGAGTGACACTTGGGCACTGCAGAACGAGAAAGGTCAGCAAGACTCATGTTTTTCCCCCTCGCCCAACCGCTACTTCAGCGCCCAGGTGGCAGGACACAGAGTTGAGAGCAAGCTTAAATTCCTCCAGAGCACCACCCGAGAGCTCGCTGAACTAAACCTCCACCTGCACAACCTCCTGCCCCACAGCAGGGCAGGTCAACTCCGTGTTGTGCTTCAAGGGAGCAGCACTAGGCCCAAACGCACCAGGGAGCTGCCCAGGGCTTCATGGGTGACATGGGTGCCCTGATGAACAAAGGAGCCACCCCCCAGCAGGATGCTACTGTCCCTCCCTCACCACCCTCGATGAGCTCCCTCGATGGCAGTTTTCACAGCCCCTTAGCTGCACAAACTCTAGTATCTCCAGCCTAATTTGACTTGGATACCCTTGATGCCCCTGTGAAGACACTCCCAGCCACCATGAGGCACACGAGGCTGGGGAAGTGTCTGTTCCCAGACTAGAGCAGCAGCTGATATCCAGGTAGAGATGCCAAGGGATGTTAGAGGGGAGGAGCAGCCCACTCCACCAAACAGTACCTTTGCGCCTCAGCACCAGCTTGTTAAAGAGATCTGACATCAAGTCTCCACCTTGTCCCGTAGCTCTCACTGAAACAAAGCAAAATACCATGAATCAGACTGGAAGAGAGTCAGCTTGACCCCAGCACTAAGGGAAGAGTGTTCTGCTGCACTGCTTTCAGGGTGAAGAACCAATGGCACCGTCCAGTTTTGCATCCCAGTGCTAACCCCTCTTCTCACCACAGCTCAGTGTCGCTTTGGGAAACACCAGGCACTGCAGGGTATCTGCACGCCTCTGGGGAAAGCCAAGCATCAAATCTGTCCAGGAGCAGGAAAGGTTCCTACCAAACCAACTAGGTCAGTAACCCCAAAGAGCTCCCTAAATCAAACCAGCTCAGCACCAAGGCCCTCTTGGACCAAAGTTTCCGCTCACGCTCTCCTTTCAGCGTCTGTCTCCACACAGCACCTGTGAAATGTCTAACCATGCCCTGAGACAAGAGGGGTTCCCTCTGGAAAACCTTTGGCTCCTGGCTTGCCAGTCTTCCCAGGTAGATTGTACCAAGAGCCTCGGCACCTTGTTCTTGTTCCTTCTGCTTCTTCTTCTCCAGCTTCCTCTCCTTGACGCTGCGGAGGTTGGCTTTGCCGATGCCCCCAGCCTGGCGGATGGACTCCAGGAGGCTGGCACGCCCGCTCGAGGGGTTCACCACCTCCTTTGGGGCTCCCTGCACCAGAGCTGCAGCGACAGGAAAGACAGATATCAGCCCTGGGCTGCATACAGGCTACGGGACCAGCCAAATCCCCACAGAAAAAACTGTTCCAGCACCCTGCCTGCCTCTGCTCTGGAGCTCTGAGCATAGCACAGGCACCTCCATCAGTGATGGACCTAGAGCAGCCCTGCCATCGGGAAACGCAGGCCTGCAGCTCCCCGGATCGGCTTTCCCTCTGAGCAGGGCTACCTTCCTCGGCCGGCCAGGCCCAGGAGCAGACACCAGAGGAGCGGCTGGCGGTCAGGCGCGGGGCTGGACCGCGCAGCGCTCGCTCACCTGCGGGCACCGTGTCATGGCTCTCCTCCCGCGCGGGCCAGCCCGCCTCAGCAGGGGCTGCGGGCTGCGGCAGGGGCGGCGGGGGAGGCACCGTCGTGGGCACGACCAGGGGTGGCGGCGGAGGCGGTGGTGGCGGCGGAGGCAGCAATAGTCCAGCGTCCTGAAGGTCTGAAAGCAGAAGGAAGTTACATGTGACAAGTCCTGGAGGATGCTGCACCCGGAGCTTCAGCTCTGAGCTCCGCAGCTTGCTGCAGCAGCGGGGAACAGTCTTCAGCACTTGAAATGCGCAGAATGCTCCCCTCCTGGGCAGCATCTCTCACAGCAGGCAGAGCTCCTTCCTTCTTCTCTGAGCCCTGGGAAGTGGGCTAGGAAGTACCTGGCTGCGAAGGCTCCACTGACTCCGTGTGGAAGGTGGGCAGCTCTGGAATAGCACTGCCCGGGGCAGACGGTGCGATGCCGGGCCCCAGGTCAGCGCTGTACATGAGATCTGCAGCAATGCCTGGCAGGTCCGGCAGGTAGGATGGCACATCGATCTCAGGCACCTGGCCCAAATCTGGCACGTAGAAGTAATTTTCAGCCACCTAAAGGAGAACCAAAGCAAAAAGACAAGGTGGCAGTTGGGTACCTGCTTTCCCTTGCAGCAAGCAGGGCGTTGCCAGCAGGGCATGAGCCAGTCAAGAGCTGGGCTAATGTGCCTCGGTGTAGGGCTGGCTCCTCAGGTGGCCCTGCAGGCCTGTGCTCTTGCCCTGGGCCAGCTCCCCAGGCCCTGAATTCACCCCTGCAGAACAGGCTGCAGGGGCAGCGAGGTGCAGCCATCTTCCTGGTTTCCTGCAAGGAAGCCTTACCCTCTCTCAGACCAGGACTTCAAGCACAGAAACTGGGCATGATTACTTGGGCAAGCAAGATGTCCCACAGCCCTGTGATGGGCAATTGCCCTACCTGCTCTCTCCACTCCCTACCCCACAGAAGCCCTTCTCTCCCCTCAGGGCTGAGCACAATCCTTTCCCTCCTTCCCCACAGCTACATCTCACCTGCCGGTCCAGCTGTCCCCTTTTGGTGATGGAGAGAGGAGCATCAAAGAGCTTCTCTTCTGTCTCCGTTTCCAGAGCTACATGGGTCTTGGTCACTGCTCCAGCCAGAGGATCCAGGAAGACATACTTCTTGTACCTGGGGCACAGAGGAAGCGATGCCATGTCCAGAGGCAAGGCCAGAGTAAGTATAGCCAAGGCAACCCTGGAGGCGAATGGCTCACCCACAGAGGCGGCACAGGGCTGGCCCTTATACTTTGCACATCCTGGCCTCGCTCTGCCTCTCCTCTCAATAGCCAAGAGCTCTCTACCTCCCCTCCATGCTGCAGCCCAGCTGTGCAGCCATCGCTCCCCAGCTCTACCCCTTTCTCCTCTGCCTGGCACAAGCCTGTCCATCCGCCTGCACCAGGACACCAATCACTCCTGGCGACATGATGTTGAAGGAACAGCAGCAAAAATGGGGTGGGAGGAGAAAACTGTGGCTAAAGGAAGGAAGAGGAGGTTCCGTAAGTGAAGGCTCAAGGGGGATGAACACAAAGAAGTTCTTCAGCAAAGGCAGGAGGAGAAACCATGAGGCAAAGCCCAACAGGAAGGGGATCTGCAATTGTGGCAGTGGGGCCATTAAAGCGCCCCTGAGAGTTACCACCTATCAGGAGAGGGTGCAGCATCTAGACAGACATCTGAAAAACAGAAGGGCAGGACAGCAGTTCTCTAGGCAGGAAAAAAATATAGGAGGATGACAGGAAAAAATGAGAAAATTGAGGAAATCACAGTCAGGAAGCACAAAGCTGAGAAGCAGGTGAGTGGAGAACAGATGCAGACAAGAAAAACCTCCTTCCACCCAGTGATGGAAGGGAAAAGAAGGAAAGGGTTGCCAGCCAGAAGCCAGAGGAGAGGTGGCAAACCCTGTCGTGCCGGGAGCCCGGCATGCAAGGTCTTGGAAAAGCAAGCAGCTACTGCTGTCCCAAGGCAGGGCAGCGCTCCTCTGAACTGTGCAGGGGTGGGCGAGCAGCAAGGAGCTGCTCCATCTCTCACAGGTTCTCCGTAGTGTTGAAGAGCAGCAGGGAGCTGAGGGAGCTGATGTTCCTGGGGAGGCTGCCAAGACCTTCTTCTGCATCATCCTCCTGGTGAACTTTGGTGCTTACGCACACAGGGAAGTACTTGAGCTTCTCCTGCAGGAAGAGAGATTACAGGTGGGAAGAGACTAACAAAGCAGTGCAACAGCCCTCCCCAGCCACCACAGCCCATGCTGCTGGATACACTGCATGGTCTGGAAATGCTACCGCTCCTGCTCCCGCTGTGAGCAAAGGGCACACAGAGAGCATCACAGTCCTACAGGCACGCCAAATCCCCACGCTTCCTGCTCATGACACATGCGGTCAGTGCCATGGATGGGCCATCCTTAACAGCTGCTCCCCTGGCAAGGATCCACCAGAGCAAAACACCCAAGGAGGCTCTACAGCCGGAGATGGAGACGCCGCATCTCAGCCTACAAAGCCATTTGCCACAGTGTCTCCATGAGGGATATTCTAGAGCATTTACCGGCAGCCAAGACTCCCCCAAACATCTACATTGCCACCCTTTTTTCTGCCTTCTACTGATATTTTAGAGACGTGATCCCACCTGTGAGATATGCTGGAAAGGTGAAAGAAAAAGAGGTTAGGCCGGAAGAATGCTCTCTCCACCAAAGATTGGGCAGACGGGAATGTGCAGGGGAGAACGCATGCCAGATGGCTCTGCAAAGCCTGAGGGATTTGCAGGAGTTTTCAACTCTAATGAACTGAAATCTCCTCTCTCTCAGTTCTAAAACTTCATGCATAATATATAGAACTCCCTTTAGAAAAGGACTTATTACATCTGAACTGCTTGACTTTTATAGAGCACAGGAGTTGTCACCCCAGATCAGACCATCCTGCTAGCGCAGCAGCACCTGCTGCCAGATGCTCTGGGGGATGCTGCCCTGTGCCCGCAACAGATCTTGCTCTATGCACCACACCAGAGGAAGGAGAAGAGTTAGCTCCCAATCCCAGAGACAGACTGATCTTCACAGTATAAGAAACCACAGACCCCAGGGGGGTCATCCCAGACCCTTTCCTGCTCCATTCCTCAGCCTGTTCCCAGTTCCTCTGTGCTTTCTTCTCCGAGAAACAGGGATAAGCAGCAGCCTCACAGCTCCAAGGTGATAAATTCCCAGACCACAAGAAAGCAGAGCACTCCGGAGATGATCTGTCCACTTTTACACTTTTCTTCCACCACCAGGTGATGACCAAATGGGCTGTTTCAAACACTACCCACCACTTCCTACTGCCTCCATACTTCCAGCATCTCTACTCTCCCCATACCAGCACCAGGAATGGAGCAGAGACAGTGCTGCTGGTTCAGTTTAACAGTGTACCTCAGCAACACCAGCAGTTTCTGCTCACTGAAATTTCCAGCTTGTATTTGGCAGCCAGAGATCCTAGGAAGTGGCTTAGTCACAGCTCAGCTAATCCACCAAGAGTCTGTATGGTGCTCCGAACGTAAGTGCTATAAGAGAAGACCGAGGAGGTTTTGATTTTGGTTTTAGTAATGAGTTCTAACTTGTGAAAAATACACTCAAATTAACATCTTGAAGTTTTGCAGCAGCAGCAAGTAGCCAAAAATACATAGATTTTTATTTAGAGACTTCAGAGGCAAAGATTCAGAAATAATGATTCTTTTGATCATTAATATTCATTTCCTAATGTTTAATTTTTAAGCATGAGGGAGTACTGACACTTTTGCTGGAATTGTTCACACACACTTAGCCCTAGAGCCATATTTTTTTTTTCTAATTCTCTCCTTGCAGATTTCAATTAGTACCGGAAGGCTGCATGCCACTAAGTGAGACACCAGCCATTACCTACGTTTACTTATAAGACTAATTTAAGGCAGCTACAAAAGCACTAAGCATAAGTATTACTCTGTATACAAGGTTCAGTATAATCTTTTTTTTCCCTCATATAAATGTTACTGAAGTACTAGTCTTACACAAATACCTGCTTCTGTTTTGAAAACCAGAATAGCCATGTGCCATCAATATCACAGAACTGAGAGTGCCACAAGTTAATGTAACAGTTAGAAATGTGCTTTCTACTAGCGACACTACACGTCCCAAGCCAAGGGTTCAGCATCTTCTATATACTGGTGTCATGGGGGGCTGCGAGTACTCAGCACCTCAAAGAATTAGTGCTTCAGCAACTGGCAGGATCACATACTTACATGTGCTATTTCCAGGCACTTATACACACACACATATTTAATCTTTGTCTCTTATTGAAGTCACCTTGGTTCTTAAATTTAAATATCCACTCTTGTTTGAGTTTGGGTGACATTCCCGCTCAGAGCACTGAGTAACACGGACACTTGAGGATTAGGAAGTACCAGAAAGCTGGTTCAACTTCCCCAGACCCATCATGAACTCTGAAAGAGGCAAAATTCATAAGGACACATTAATATTTCAGAAGACTATCCAGATTACTCCAGTGATGGATTGCAAGTTTTGCTTGGAGCTTTTCCAAACCCCAGAGATGGGGACCATGTCTCCCATATCCCACTGGAAGCCTCCCACCTCTCCCAGCCTCCAGAGAGGCAGCTGCAGCCCTGAAGAACAGCTCCCACCTGCAAAGGCAGCATCCGGCATCTGAAAAGCCCAGCAGAGCTGACTTGCAGTTCAGTACAGCCCTCCTCCTGCCACAGCAATGTGCAAAGCAAGTCAATCAGGTTTGCCATAAGGACCATGTTCCTGGGATTCTTATCCTCAAGTGCTTGTCTTACCAGCCCAAACATTGTGTAACTGACGAGTTTTCACTTGCTTATGGTTTGGAGGGAAAGGAAAATATCCTGGAAGGGAAGCATTTATGAACAGAATCACAGCACCACATACATCTCTAACTCTGCCACAGCCCCTCCAGAGCAGAAACCCTGAGCATCTGGCACAGGCAGCACTTCTCTAACTGACATGAGCAGAGTTTGTCCATGTGCGTGTGCGCAAAGGCCACCATGACTGCTCCCAGCAAAGAGGCCCTTGTTAGAAGTGAAAACAGGCAGAGAGCTCTGTTGAAAGCCCTGAATAATTGAGGAGAGCTTAAATGCAAACATGAGACTTCCCTCTGCCACATTTCATTACTGTAAGGTGCATCAGGCTCCCTGCTCAGCTGCGGACAGGAGCAGCCCGTCCCCCCGTAAGGAGGTCAGTGCTGGGCCGCCCCAGGTCCCGCGGAGCTGGCGAGCCGGCGCTCACACACCGCTGGCACGGGGGAGCCGCCAGCCCCTCGCTGGCACCGCGGCATCGCTCCCGCCCGGCTCACACCGAACAGGGCCAGACGCTGCGCGTGAGCTAGGCAGGAGCAACAAGAGCTTTGCATGAATTGAGTGGGGAGGGAGAAGTCGACAAAGCCAGGGACCCAAGGGAACTCTCCAATCCCAAGGGAGAATCCAGACAGCAGTCATAGCAGGAGAGGGAGAAATTCTGCAGGCTCCACGGGATGCTTGTAAGTCCCCTTGGCAAAGGCAGCTTTGGTCGTGAAGGGCAGGATGGGCTGAGCAGAGAAGAGTGGGCAGAGCCTACAGGGACAGCTGAGCACTTGAACGTGAACATCTTTTGGGATTTTGGGGCTCTACTTCTCACCAGCTGATCCGCAGCCCAAGGCCCTCACTGTGCAAGTGCATCAGTCTGTGCCCTTCAGCTCCGGCAGGGAGAGCACCTCGCCCACCCTCCTCCCAGGTACTTCTGCTTCCCCGGGCTCTCCGAGGGGCTGGGGCCACCAGCACAACAGCACAGCTGAAACAGGTCTGTCCCAGCTGGGTGGCAGCGGATCCCATGCGACCGAGCCCCAGGCTACCGCCAGGCCTCACAAGAAGCACAACCTCCACTGCAGTCTGCCTGCTGTCCATCTGGCCAGCGACTCCACTTTCCTGGCCTGACTGAAATATTCATAACTACCTCACTGTAAAGAGGCCTCAACTCCATTAAAACTCAGGAAAGTTTTGTGCTATCAATTATTCAGAGGCAGCTTTATTTTTGGGCCAAGGCATACAAGGATGAGATGGGAAGTCTCTATAGGGGTGGAAAGCAGAGAAGTCATCCAGCTGATCATGTCAACGAAGAGCACATCTGCTACACCTGGCACTGCAGGCACGCAGTATCTTTGGAACACGACTCTTCCTCCCCTTCCTCCAACCCTCGTAAGGGAGCACTGACCCAAATTGGAGAGTCCCTTGGTAGCATCTCTTGCAAAGCTCACTACTTCTCAGATCTTAAGAGGAATCTGTCACTCAATCCATAGGCTAAAAGAGAACTCAATAGTTTAGCTCCTCCCTCAGCAACACCAGTTACATTCACATGCTATGGGATCACATGCTATGGGATCACCTAGAAGCCCCAAATGTGTTGGGTAGTGACAATTTCAGGCCTTACCTGAAGGGCTTGTTACCTTCAACTGCTGAAGGCAAGGCACAGGACAAGCAAGCAGAAACAAGATGTAAAAAAAGCAAAATGACCTTCCTACATCCCCACGTATCACAAAGCTTAGCTTGGAAACAGCTATCCGAGTGAAATCCTTTTCTGAGACAGGAAAAATGCTCCAGTATCACCTTTTTCTCCTCACGAGTATTTTTATTTTTCCCTTCTCATTGCTGCTGTGTAGCAGAACCTTCAGAACCTACTTTTCAGAAGAGTATCAGCCTGATCCCAGCTGCCTTGCTATGCACAGGCAAAGTCTTGAGAAGAGGCACTAGCAGCCCCTAGCAGGAATTGCAGGAAACCACCACGTTTAGGAAAATGGATCTATCCTGATAACTCAGCAGCCAACAGGCACTCAGCTCCACTAGTCAACCCATAACCAAGGTCTTATTCTGACACAGGTCTCAACACAGGAGCTCTGCAAGCTTTCCAGCCCACTCTCACACACCTCCCAGCAGGTCACATTGAAAATGCAACACACACTCTGCTCTTGGCCTATGTCCTAAAGCCCTGGTCTACTTCATCCAAGAGACTCACAGCTTCTTAGTTTTTCTTTACTTATTCATCTCATGGTCTGTTCTGGTCCTTACCTGCAGCGATTTCTCATCCAGCATTCGGTGTTTGCTCTGAATCTTGTGTTTTGGCCATTTCTGTTTAGCTGGGTCCTCTGCACCAGCAAAAATTGAGCTGTACTCCTGCAAGCGTTCAGGGGCAGGATACTTGGCACTGGAAAATACCTGTAGGGACACAAGGAGAAACTGAAAACAAATCCCAACAACTAAGCAATCCTATGCTACATAAGTACAAAGAGCCTAAGAAGGCATACAGCCTGCAAGCAGGAATGGACACCTTGCTTTGGAGTCAAGAGGCTGCCAAGGGCTGCACGGCTGGACCTGGCCATGCATGGGGCTCTCACTTCTAAAAATCCAAGTGCCAGAGCTTCCCTCTAGAAAAGGTTGTCACAGGCAAAAACACTCCCACTGACAAGAAGTTAAGTGTAGATACTGTAATAAATGGAGGAGGAAAGGGGAAAGGAGCATTTCCCCCAGAGTTTTACACGGTTCAACAGGAGTAACATGCACTGAGGGAAGGCTCTCCAAAAGCACCTTCCATGCCAATAGCCAAAAGGTTAAGAGACTGAAATGAGAGTGTGTTTGGCTTAGCACAGCACATGCCTTCTCTTTCTCTCAAAAAGCTCTTTGGACAATTTATATAGGCCTTTTAGGTCAAGCAGATGTGCAGTTCACAGATCTAAAAAGTCACCAGTTTGCCAAGACTCGATCATGGCTCCTGCTCAGCAGCAAGGCAAGGCAGAGAGAGGTGAACAGGGTGCAACCGGGAAAGACAAGCACCTTCTCTGCAGAGTTCCCACAAGAAGCAAAGAGAGGAGGTGGAAGGGAGACTGCAGTCTCCAGAGGCTGTTAGCTGGGTCACTACCTTAATGGCCTTCTTGCTGCCCTTGATCTTCTCGATCTTTGCCTGGGCGAGCGTGACTCTCTCGCTGATGGTCTGCAGCTGTGTCCGGCTGGCCTCCACCCGCTGAGAGATCCTGCAGAGCAAGCACCTTTCCTAAGTGTGAGAATCCAGGGCCTAAGATTTTATGCAACAGCCAATGTCCAGGCCTGAGGGCAAGGATATGAATCTCAGTGGTCTGCATTGTTTCATAGGGTAAGATTAGCACCGGTCAAGATACTGTTATCTTGGTTGCCTGGACAGTTTTCTGTTCTCTCACGAAATGTGGTTTAGCCAGTGACAGGCAGCACAACATTCCCCTCACCGTCTGAGGCAAGGCAGAGAAAGTTGGAGAGTTGCAAGCCCTACACCTCATTGTGTATACTGCTAACAAGAAGGGCACAGCTAGTATCATCTGCCAATGGATTTCTAACAAAGGTCATCTGGGAAAAGGTGGCACCAGGTCCAGACATCAACAGCAGGTTAACTACAGAGCTGCCTGCTCAGGGAGGACCTTTCTTCCCCTCACATAACTCGTAGGTGCTCCCTAGCTCCAAACTCAAAGACTGACAGTTGTTCTGAATCTTCACCCCTCTTAATAAAAACAGCAAAGAATACATTTTAGCTGTATGATCGATCCAAAGAGCTGGTACTCACTTTAATAACATTTTGTAGGAATTAGTTCCAGAGGCTCTCCTCGTGCATGTAAAAATCAATTGCAAGTATTATCTTTAAATTTCAAAGGTCTCTCTTTGCTTTGAAGTAGTTGAGCCCCCATTTTCTTTATTCTATCTGTATAATTCCTTCTAGCAATCAATTTGACACCAGCAGTGATCCTTGATTCCTATTTTCAACCTGTACCAAACCTGTCTTTTTAAGTATTTTCACTTGGTGCAACACATCCACTATTACAGTAAAAAAGGGACTCTACTAAAGGGCCCTCTTTGATCGTATGTAGCGTGGGAAAAAAAAAAGTGGCAGCACCCTATTCACTTGGAGCTTCCTCAGAATGTTACAGTTTCTTGCTCTGACCAACTATAAGAGCTCTTGTTTGTTTATAATCATGCTCCCCCCTCTCTGGAGACAAGAGCCCTTTCTTAAGGATACAAGAGAAGAGCAAGTTACCTGTTCTACTTCACTCTTTTTAGAGTGGGAGATGAGCAAAAACGAACTTCATGTGATCCCACCTCACAGTGTTCTCCATTTCTCCATCCTTTCATTCTAAATACATCCTAACAGCTTGTACTTTGTACCAACACTAAGTACAAGCCTGCTCATGATTCCCTTCCCACACCCTCTCTCTGTCTTAGCAGGGTAGGTCCCTACACACTTGATGGGCTCTCAGGATCGTTTAAGTTGTTCCTTTCAGTGCGCATTTCCTAGCACTTGTCTGCAGCGATTTTGTGTGCCACAGTGTCAACCCATTGCTTAGTTCTACGTGAGAGACACTTCAAAAGGATGCAAGTCTTTCCTAACTGTTCCCCCCAGCAAGTTTTCCCTCCCCACAAATCATCTCTTTTCTACGTTTCATTGTTGTATTGATTGACACTATTCTTAGCACTGCTCCTGAGGGCCCCTGCCTATTTTTACATTCTTAAGAGCAGAAAAAAAGAAAACAAAAAAGAAAAAAAAATCTTTATTTCTGCTTTGCTTTTTGTTCTCAAATGCATGATGCAACTTTCTCTCCCAGAAGGAAAAGTTAATTAGATAGTCACCCCAACTCAAGTATTTGAGCAGGTGGAATGAGATGGTCAAATGCTCCTTTTCTTATCCCACGCAATCACCACTGCTTCAGCGTGTGGCACCCCCTCTTCTCCCACGCTCAGCTGTGAAGAGCAAAGGAGCTATCACAACAGAGCGCCAGGCCCCAAACCCTGCGCACCAAGAGCAACCCTGTGAGCAGCCCTGCAAAGTGCCAAAGGAGACTCAGGGCAGAGCTAGTCAGTGGCTGGCAAGAGCGTTCTGAGACTGCCCACTTCTGTCATGGTCTTGTCAGGATCCAACACAGCATGTCTGCGGCATGGGACATGTTCCAAATTGTCTCCTTACTTCAATACATAGAAGTGTGGCAAAAGCTGGTTTACAGATGATTTCTGCTTTAGAGATGCTCATAACCTTCTGCTCCCCAGATCCTGAAGGGGCGAAGATCCCAGATACCTGTCACCCCAACCACTTCTCCATTTCCCATCCCTCCTACTAGACCCAGAGTCACCTGGCTGGGGAGAGGAGCAGGGTCACAGCTCCCCGGGCACCCCCAGGAACAGGACTGGAACAGAGGAGAACACAGAGCAAGACACCTCCGAGCCCACGGGGCTGCACATCCCGCTCATTTAACCTTTGTTGCAATCACTTTTTTTAAAAAAAAAGCATCCCCTAAAAAAAGAAAGGCTGTGACTGACCACTATTGTGTAATTAACCCTTTACTCTCTGTCCTAGCTGTATCAGTAATGCTACAACCAGAGGAGGGGAAGAGAGGGAGGACATATGTAGCTTCATCCATCTGTACCATGCTTTCCTCCCTCACTTTCCCCCAAATCAGTGATTGTTTTCACCCCAAATCAGACTGCTCTCAGCACAGGCAGGGGAAGCTGTTCAGAACTAGCTTAGGTGTTTCAAATCATTACATCTATTCCCTGCAGCGCCATGTACTTTCTCCTTTGATTTCCTACCCTAGGATTTGCCAGGTCTAATCCTAGCAAGCTTAGGAGATCTGCCAAAACCCTTCACCTGTGGTGGTATAAACGCAGACATACAGCACAGAAGGAATACACACAAGCATAGAAATTAATCTATTTGTTGCTGACCAAGGTAACTAAAAAAAAATGATTAAGTCCCCTCAATCCAACTAATCCACCAAATTCCCATCATGTGTACAGGGTCCTAAAAAAAAATGACTTATGCATGTACAGTTCAAATTACTGCCATGCATGTTAGTTTGAAGGGACAATGTACTATGCAGATACTGGAAAAAAAGAATAATATACTAAAAAAAAGACTCGTATTCAGGGGTGTTTCAACTTCACTATTTCTACTGCTTTGGAAACTCAACTTAGGGCAAGCAGTCACCTTGGGGTTTGTAAAGAGAAGAAACATGAAGGGATGGCGAGGCCTGTTCCCAAGGAATTCAGGGGCTTTGGGGGCAGGGCTGCATTCAGACCTCAGCCTCCATTTAATAAACGGGTTTTACCTGAAAGACACTTGCAGGAAGGGCAGGAGGGATAAGCGTAAACCAGAGCCTACCTCTGAATGCCTGTGCTCAGACAGCGTGGAGTGCCGTTAGCATGTGAACCCACCCTGTGCCTCTCCTATTAGTCATCACGGGGCTGTTTTGCTCTGGGTGCTCTTTTCTGCTCGAGAAGCTCCTTCAGCCAGATTCAATGCGACTGGGGAGCTGCACGAGGGAGCAGGCGGCAGTGACAACCCTGGGCGCTGTGCGTGCTTGGGACGGAGCGTGGAGGGACCGCAAGACACAAAACCACCGGCCTTCAAACCCCAGGCCCAGGGCCAAGCTAGCCTTCCCCTCTCCATGCTTTTCTTTGGGCAAGTAATGCATGCAGTAGATTAAATCTATTGAGTGGATTATCTTTAAATCCACACAGATTTTTTTTTTTAATTTATGCAGATATTAAAGCCAATCTTTCAGCTGCTTTGACTCAAGCTTTCAAATTCTCTGCCGCTCTGATCTCTTTTTTGCTGCCAAGGCTTTTCCCCCCCGCCTCTCCCTCAGCTTAGATCTCATTTCTCCAAACACACTCTCACCTCCCACCCTGAGCTCCTGTCCCTTTGAGGTGATGCCCTTGCAGCACCCACAGGATTCTCAGGAATATTTCCTCCTACCGCATCGGCATCTTGGCAACTCTGCTTCTTCTGCCCCACCTGCAGCCACGCAGCAGATCATCTCCCGTTACCTTCTTGCAACTTCTCTGATAATCCTCACCATTAGTTACTGTGAGAGCTCCTGTGCTGTATGTGTGCCTGATCACAGGGGAAAATGATTGCTGCCTCATCCCACAGGGACAAGCCTTGAGGTGCTCAGGGCATGAGATAGAGCCTGCGGACTGCCAGCACTGTACTCCTGGAAGGGTCTCCAAGCACAGTAAAATGCACCCCCCCCCCCAAAAAAAAAAACACCCAAACCCCACAAAGTTTCCTTTACCCAATCAGACAAGATCAGCAGAGTAGGTGGAAAGGCAGGCTGCTGGACTCCCAGAAGAGCTGAGCAGAGCAGCTTGAGGAACAACTGAATTTAGCTAGAGGCCACATCACGGCATGCAG